GAATCACGTATGGATGGCCCAGATTGAATCACGCACGGACGACCCAGATATATTCTATTTTAATCGCAATCGGACAACCCAGATTAAATCGTGATGGACGGCTGAGATTAAAAGGGGAAGGTTATAAATAACCTTCAACCCATACTGACCCCAAACCCTAGCCACCAGTACCCTCGCCGGAGAAGAAGAACCAGTCACCGGAGGAGCTGGCCACCGCACCGGAGGGTTTTCTGACCGCCAAACGAGGTAAATTTTCTTCCCTTGGCTCGTTTTTTGATGCTGAATCCGCCTATGGCCAAATCAGAGCTAAATCACCGGCCAATAGGTCGGAAAATACTGCCGAAGTCCAGCGGCGCTGCCGCGGCTTTCCTCGATTTTTGCCTCTGATGAGGCTCTTCCCGATTCCCGTTCGATGCAATTTTAATACCACTGTGATCACCGTCCTTTTCTCTACAGGTTGATCGGAGCAAAACAATAAATCGCGACTCGCGCCGGAGAAGTCGCCGCACCTGAGAGCTCTGTCGCCGATAAGTCTCAGTTTTTCGTGATTTTTGGCCCACCGAGCGCTCTAGGGTTGTTTTATCACAGACATCAATGCAAGTTTGGCCAAATTCGGCCGAAAACGACCAACTCGAGGCGGATCGCCGTCGCGGGCGGTGGTGCCGTCGCCGGAGCACAGCGGAGCCGCCATGCCAGAATTCTGATATTGGCCAAAAAGGGGGGCCTGAGTCTGATTTGAGGTTTTTTGGGACACGTGCAGGTACCAGTAGTATGTTTCAGCTCCCCAGAGAAAATTCAGAGAATTTAGGGACAACTCGTAGACACACTGTAGAGCCGATTTCAGACCCCAAAACAAGTAAGGATTTCTCACCATATTTTATAACGCCCAAATAATTTTAAATTATTTTTATTATTATTATTTATTTTATTTTATTTTTTATTATTATTTTATTTTGTTTATTTTAATTTAATTTAATATAATAATAAAAATAATAATAATTGTAAAATTGGGTAAAAATATTATTTAGATTTAATTAAAATTGATTTTGGAAAAAAAGGGTGAAAATTAGGATTCTGGGGGTATTTTTGAAAAGAAAATCGGAAAGCGGGGTCAAAACGCAATTTAAAAAAACTGTGCCCCGTTAGCGCCACGTCAGCAACCACGTCAGCGGCCCAGTCAGCAGTCCTGGCCAACCAGGACCTACCGTGTGGTAAGACCACGTCGACCGGGGAACGGGCCACGTGGGCGATCCGAGTGCTCGCGATCGGACGGCCCAGATCAAGCGTGCGCACGGACGGCCCAGATACAATCGCACGGACGACCCAGATGCACGCGCACGGATGGTCCAGATTCAATCAAGAATGGACGGCCCAGATTTAACCAAAATGGACGGTTGTGATCAAAAGGCAAAAGGGTATAAATAAAATCCCCACACCTGACCACAAAAACCCTAGCCGCCTGCCCTCGCCGGAGAAGACGAACCAGATGCCGGAGGAGCCGGCCGCCGCCACCCGCCGCCGCACCGGGGAGTTTTTCGATCGCCGATCGAGGTAAATTTCATACCCCTGACTCGTTTTTCCACGCTGAGTTCCCCTGTGGCCAAATCGGAGCCAAAATCCCAACCAAACGGCCGAAAAATACGGCTGAAACCCAGCGGCGGCGCCGCGCCCCTCCTCGGTCTTTGCCTCCGATGAGGCCCTTCCCGGCCTCCGTTTGATACAATTTTTATATCACCGTGATCACCATTCTTTTCTCTACAGGTTGATCGGAGCCAAATGACCAAAACACGAACCTCGCCGGAGAGCCACCGCATCCGAGAGCACCGCCGCCGGTAAGCTTCAGTTTTTCGTAATTTTTTGGCCCCCCGAGGGCCCTAGAGTTTTTTTATCGTAGGGACCGATGCAAGTGTGGCCGAATTTGACCGGAAACGGCCAACTCGAGGCAAATCGCCGTTGCCGGAGCACGACGGAGCCGCCCTGCCGGGATTGAGATATTGGCCGAAAGGGGCCCTGGGTCTAATTTGGGATTTTTTGGGACACGTGCAGGTACCAGTAGTGCGTTTCAGTTCCTCGGAAAGAATTCAAGAAAAATTAGGGACAGCCTGTAGGCGCACTGTAGAGCCGTATTCGGACCCCGAAACAAGTAAGGACCCCTCACCCTATTTTCTATCACGGTATTAAAGTTCAATAAATGATAAAACGGTATTTCATGAATCAACATATGTGTGAAATTGTTTAAGGTCGCTAATGGAGCCCAAGTCTTGTGTGTTTGTCTGTTAGCTGTTGTTTGACCTATTTTACAGTTTTAAATCCAGTATGAGGTCTTATGTTTTCATTTCATAGTTTCGTGTGCACATATTACTGTTTTATTGATTATGGGTTGAATGACTGAGAACTCGATGTTGTATGTTGTCTTGTTTGACATAAATTACTGGTTTGCTTGCTTGTTTGCGAATTGATGATACTGACTGAGGAAAAGGGGAATGAAATGTTATGTAAATTGATAATTGTATAATATGGTCAGCCTGACTACATATTCTGGGAGATGGTGGACGGACTGGGTCCGTAGGGAACCCGGGATTGTGGTTTCTCATACCGGACGGGGTATGGAGATCTTATGTGTTTTGGCGCCCATACCGGACGGGGTATGGGGACGACCCGTTTCACCCTCATACCGGACGGGGTATTGAGGTTTATAGTTTTGGCGCCCATACCGGATGGGGTATGGGGACGGCCCTGGAATCTGATTACAAGTGTTAAGGGTTCACGGGTAGCGGGACCCCTATGGATCTCCATGGATACTAGTAGGCTGGTAAATAAGGAAAAATATGTTGTGTAATGATTGAGATGTAAAAGGCGTGATAAGTATTATGTTATACAGTTTCTATGATTTCGTGATGATGATAATGTTATTGCTTTCGTATATTGTTTTATGAATTTCACCGAGATAAGTGGATAGTAAAGGCTTTTATTATTGATAAAAGAATTTGTTGTAAACTATGCTCCATTAGTCCTTTTGTGTTTTCTACCCACCTTTACCTCATTGACGGTGAGATAGTGTGATATCTTTACTGGGCTGGTGTAGCTCATTCCTTATTTAATCATTTCAGATAAGGAAGACATTGTTCCCGAGCCTGTTCCGCAGGAAGACGGCGAAGGGGACGCCTGAAGACTCCGTAGTCATATTTATAGCTTTTATTTTCGAGTTTCTCTTTTAGTTAGTTTGTTCTTTTATACTTTGAGCACGTTTTTGGTTTTAGTGTAAAGGATGTTTAATCAAAATTTTTATTACGCTTCCGCATTTGACTTTTTTAATACACATATTTCATCTTAAATTTCCGGGGCCGTTACATATTTTCTATCACGGTATTAAAGCTCAATAAATAATAAAACGACATTTCGTGAATTAATAGATATGTATAATTAATTAAGGTTGCTAATGGAGCCTGAGTCTGATATATTTTTGGTCAGTTGCTGTTTTAGTTATTTTACAGTTTTAAATGTATTATGGTATCTGATCTATTTATTTTATGGTTTTGAACGCATGAATCACTGTTTACTTCATTATGGCTTGATTTTGTGAATCTGATGATATGTCTGCCTTATTTGGTGTCCATTACTGGTTTACGTATTTGTGTTTGATTGGATAATTGAGATTAAGAAAAATAAAAAAGGTATGTAAATTGATAAATGAATAACGTGGACAGCCTGACTAGATATCCTGGGAGATGGTGGATGGACCGGATCCGTAGGAAATCCTACCGGGAATGTGATCTCTCATATCGGACGGGGTGTTGAGACTTTATGTATTTTTACACCCATACTGGATGGGGTATGGGGACGGCCCGTTTCACCCTCGTACCGAACGGGGTATTGAGGTTTATGGTTTTGGCGCCCATACCAGACGGGATATGGGGAAGACCCTAAAATTAGGTTATTAATGTTAATAGTTCACGTGTAGCGGGGACCCCCTATGGATTTCCATGGATACTAGTACGCTGGTAAAAAAGGAGAATTGTTGTCTGATTACTGAAGTGCAAAAGTATAACATGTGTTATGTTATAAAATGTATATGATTTTATGATGGTTATAATGTTATTGTTTTCATATGTTATTTTCACGAGTCTCACCGAGGTAAGTGGACAGTAAATGTTTTTATTTTTAATAAATGAGTTTGTTATAAATTATACTCAATTAGTCGTTTTTGTTTTCTACCAACTTTTACTTATGTGGCAGTGAGATAATGTAATGTATTTACTGGGTTAGTGTAGCTAATTCCTTACTTAACCATTTCAGATCAGGAAGACATGGTTTCCGAGCCCGTTCCGCAGGAAAACGACGAGTTAGACGCCTAAAGATTTTATTAATTCTATTTATAGTTTTTATTTCGAGTATTTCTTTTAATTAACTTATTCTTTCATACGTTGAATACGTTTTTTTATTATTGTGTATGGGATGTTAATCAGAATTTTTATTTCGCTTCTGCACTTAGAATTTTTAATACATATATTTTTTTTTAAATTTTCAGGGACGTTACAAACATACTAGTAAAATGCAGTAGCCACATATATAATTCTCAGTCAACAAGGGCAAAATATAATAAGTTATTATATTTATTGATAAAAAAAAATACCTTATGTGGCTAAATTAGTGACTACTTTTAAAGTTATTATATTTATAATAAGGTTATTATCAATTTATGTGGCTCAAGTCGATGAATTATACTATTCTAATAGTCAAAAGGACATATATAATTCTCATATTTTAATATAAAAATATTTATTCATGGTATTACGAAAAACATAACGAACAAGAAACTATACCAAAACGGTGCGTTTTTGGTAGGTGGCAAAAGTTTCGTTTTCCTTCCAACGGATAATTCCTTGTTGGCACCTAAAGCAGATTCTTGTAGAGCTCTTATGCAAGGATAATATCCTCAAGAATACTGAAAATCTGCAAATCTATTTGCAAAAATTTCAATGGAATTGGGGCTTAATTGAATTCTCTCACCTCTACTCTCACAACCTTTTACTTTAAAATAAACAGAGAAAATTATGAATTTTGCAGCAAGTTTTCGCGGGAATTTCAGTCTCTTGTCGCAGTGTAGTTCCTGTTCCGGTCTTCGATTTCATCCATTTCTACCTTCTTCGTATCTTGATTTTTCTCAGCCGAAACGCCGTTGTCGAAGTCTCTCTTCTTCAAGGTACCATTTCTGTTTTTCTCTCTCGCTCGCGCTTTCGTGTTAATGCTGATAATTAACGACGGGGATGAATTCAGATTTCGAGGGAAGAGGAATGTGTTTGTTAGATTGACTGAGACGCAGACTGAACCAGATAGCAATAATGATAAGGTACTCATATATGGAGGGTGAGGGTTTTGTCAATGATGAATATTTTGATGTTTGATGATATTTTTACCTGCTGCAACTAACCTAATTGTGGGTATTTGTTTAAAGGATTATCAGTAGCTCATTTTTTGTACATTTTTTTCAGATTTGTTTGATTTTATGGATTTCCAATAGATGCTTTTCTGAGTTATATGGTTGTCTTATTGCGTTTGATTCTCAGTCCAATAATTTTGAACTTGGTTAGTTGCTTTTCTGTAGTTCTTTGAATGTTACTTTCCCATTTCTGCATTCTGCAATGTCAGTTGGTTGTTATTTAACTGTGAGGCGATTGAGCTCTGGCAGAGAAGGAAATAAAAATTCCATACAGAGGCAACTATCAGTAATACTTGTAGTCGGTTCTATAAAACTTGATGCTTTTCAAAATTATGATTCTTGGTTTTGAGCTTAACTTATAAACATTATTGGATATTAATGTTTGTAGGAAGAAGGAGCACCTGAAGATGGAGAAGGGTCACCTTCAAATGATTCTCTTTTGCAAAATAATTCCCAGAGCCATTCTCAGCCTGTAGAGGTGGATAATAGAAACATTGATGATGCGGAAACTAAAGGTCAAGCTGGGGTTCAGGTACTCCGTATTGGTAATCTTAAGCAGCCATTGAATAGAAAGGTTTCTAGAGTATCATTAGCAAATGATGATCAAGTAGATAAACTTAAATGTACTTGCAATTTTATTAACTCCATGTCCATGGCGTTGTTGTC